AGCTCTGCTCCTGAATCTGCTTTCCAAAGCACAGCTCTGCATCCCAAAGCATAGCTCTGCTCCCCAAAGCACAGCTCTGCTCCTGAACCCGCTTCCCAAAGCACAGCTCTGCCCCTGAACCCGCTTCCCAAAGCACAGCTCTGCTCCTGAACCCGCTTCCCAAAGCACAGCTCTGCCCCTGAACCCGCTTCCCAAAGCACAGCTCTGCTCCCCACAGTACAGCTCTTCACCTGAACCTGCTTCCCAAAGCACAGCTCTGCTCCCCAGAGTTCAGCTCTTCACTTGAACCTGCTCCCCAAAGCACAGCTCTGCTCCCCAGAGTTCAGCTCTTCACTTGAACCTGCTCCCCAAAGCACAGCTCTTCACTTGAACCTGCTCCCCAAAGCACAGCTCTGCTCCCCAGAGTTCAGCTCTTCACTTGAACCTGCTCCCCAAAGCACAGCTCTGCTCCTGAACCTGCATGCCAAGGGCTGCAGTGGGTGGTGGCAGAGTTGGGGACCTGTGTGGGCCCAGCTGTGCCTCTGGGACTGCCCAGCCCAGTCCAGGAGGAGGGTGGGAGGAGGAAGCAGGGCTGAACCAGGCCCAAACCCCAGCAACACTGGCACCTGATAATTATGGTATTGGCAGTGTCACCCATGGCCGGGACTGTGRCTGCCCAGGGCTGTTCCCAGGGCACAGCCCAAATCCCGTCCTCTCCTCTGCTCTCTCCCAGAGCACGAGACCCTCAGGACAGGCAGGGCACAGCCACCTCCCGGCACGGGGAGTCTGTGCCCCAAAAGGGACGCAGCTCCTTAGGGACCCTCCCCTGCTTGGGGACCCTGCTCCGTGCTGTGAGTCACAGAGCCTTGACATCWCATGCATAGGTCACCCTCTCTGGGGCAGCTGCCAGGTGACCCCGGGTGCCAGCCACGCTTCCCAACCCACCACCAGCTCCAGGGCTCCCTTGTGGGGTTCCCTGAGGTGCCTGGGGCAGGAATCCCAGTGAGGAGGTCACAGGAATGAGCACCACARAGCTGGTGCTGTGCCTGCCCAGCATCTGGCAGGATTCCTGTGGGTGCTGGCACCCACTGACCTCCTCCCCACGCAGCAGCCRTGTCTCCTTCCTCATCCTGCTTAATTTCCTCAGTGCAGACTCCCAGGGTCCAGCCACAGAGCGCCTCCAACACCAAGCACATCCCACCAGGTCCCACCTTCCTGTGCCACCAAAGGCAGGGACACAAGTCACTCCATGAGGACAACCCTCATGGGCAGCAGAGTGGGAGCTCYAGCCCAGTTCCATCCTGGCTCCATCAGGAACTCTTCCCCTGTGCCCTCTGCCCCAGCTCAGGCTCCCCTGTCCCCTGCCCACCCCGAGCTGCCGTCAGGGCCGTTCCCGACACGTGGCCCCATGGTGGCAGAGCCGGGGCCATGTCTGGCACAGTGATGTGCCACAGGCTGGGGGATTTTCCTCATGGAGTGAAAGAGAAAGAAGGAAAGGGCTCTTGGCCACGTTCCTCTTGGCCTCCTTCCACGTTCTGCTTTTGATGTTGTTCTCCCTTTTTACAGCTCCTTGCTCGAGCCTTAAGCCCCAGCAAACATGGAGAGTTCATCCAACAGCAACAGCCGGGGCCGTGTCGGCAGCGGGGGAGAGCGGCAGGCACAGCCCTGGGCCAGCATTCCCTGCCTGGGGCTGGGGCTGCRCCCCCCGAAGGAAATAAACCCCAAAGACAGACCCTCCCTGGTGGATGTCTCGATGCCATCCCTTCTCCAAGGGCGCCCGAGGGCCTTCGGACACTCCTGAGAGCAGCCCTGGCCCTATGCACAGGTGAAGGCAGGGATAGGGCATGGAGGGGACTCCGGGGCTGCCTCCCCCCACAGCACCTGCACTCCCCCKCGCAGGGAGGTGTTTGGGGTGAGGAAAACCCCGGCGGGGCAGCCCCTGCCTGCCGCCTCTGCTGCCTCATCGCCCGGGGAGCGGCACTGGGCGCGGTGCCAGTGAGGGATCTGACGGCACCGCGGATCCGGGGGTTGAACAGAGCCCGGTGCCTCAGGGAGGAGAACGGGGCACCGTGGGGCGAGCCCATCGTTCCTGAATGCCGAGCAGACGCTCTGTGCCACTCCCGGACCCCGCCGTGCCGCTGCCTTTCCACACTGGATCCCTCGGCCCGGAGCAGCCTCCCAAGGCCTCAGATCCCTCAGCCTCGGAGCTCGGAGGGGCCCGGGCTCCCCCCGGGCGCTGGGACCGACCGGCCCCGGCGGAGCCGCCGCCAGCCCCGGGGCTGGTACCCCCCGGAGCTCCCGCAGCACGGCCGGAGCTTGGCTCGGCAGCAGCGGATTAGCTTCTTCCCAGCTTTGCCTGGATTTGGTGACCTCCAACAAGGACCTTCCACCCCGCCTGGCAGCCTCGCTCCTTGTCCCGGCAGAGCCGTCCCCTCGATCCTTGGGGACAMAGGCAATGCTGGGAGCTTGGACTGTCCCCGTCCCCTCGCCCTCCCCAGCCCCTGGGCAGTGTCAGGGTGCAGCCGTGCCCAGAAGGAGCACGGAGCTTTGGAGGAGAGATCAGGGCATGGAGCAGAGGAGTGGCAGGTGGGCCATGGCCCAGCAGGATCATCCCATGCAGGAGAGGGATTATGGGGCACTGGGCTAGGATGTAGCCCCGGGAATGTCCTTGTGRGAGCAGTCACCACCCAGTCCCAGTCCCATGGAAACCCAAGTGGCAGCCTGGCCAAATTCTGGTACTGACATTTCCAGGAATTCTGGGGCACTGCTGCCCACGCCGCAGCTCTGCAGGGGCCAGCTTTGTCACGCTGGGCACTAAAAGCMATTGCCAGACAAGAAGCCAGTGATTTTCTTACAAAGCAAAGCCACGTGAATCCCCTTCAGAAAACATCGACTCACYGAGGTACGGCCAAGATTTCATCCGAGGCAATTCCTTCTGTCTCTTCTCCCTGGCAAACCCCTCAGCTTTGGGGCAAGAGGGCTCTCCCAGTCCCTGTCTGCCTCATCCAGCAGTGCTGCTTGCAAACTTGCAGGAATTTGGTTTGTTGGGGAATTCTAGTGAATTTTACCTGATGATTCRAACCTCTTTGTCAGCCCAAAGCAGCAGCACTCAGGCCCTGCAGAGATCCTGCTTTGCCCTTTCCCAGTTCTCACTCTGCGCTCCTGCCACCAGCTGGGATAATCCCTCCTGGCAGAGCCTGAAGTGGGGCAGCTTCACTGGACAAATAACTACAGAAAATTCCAAGCTGGGGATTCACAGGGTCTGGGAGCGTGCAGGGCAGGAGCAGGGATGTGGGAAAGARGCAGCGATGTGGGAACAGGCTCCAAGAGGCCTGGGAAGAGCTGCTGYACAAAGGAAAGAGAGGAGGCAGAAAGGCAAAGACAGGTTTGTTAGAAAAGCCGCAAAACAATTTAAAACCAGGGAATTGCCTGGTTATGGCTAAATCACCTTCTCCCTCTTCCTAAGGCAGCCCAAACGCCACTGGGGCAGTTCTGGAGGGATGTCCAACACCCACTGACAATTCCCAAGGGAATCCAGGGGATCCAGGAGCTGTTGGCACTGCAGGGCAGCTGGCCCTTTGGGGCTAATAAAGGCCATCTGCAAAGACAGAACATGAGAGTCCTTCAGGCCCCAAAGGTAATGCGGCATGGGAGGAAACTCCGAGCTCTGCAGMGTTCAGGGGCTGGGGGTCAGAGCTGATGAGGCTTTAAGCTGCTTTCAACATCAGTTTTAAGGGTGACAGATGGAGGGAAGGGGGAAAGAAACCCCACCCCGTTCCCTGCTTGAGCCTCCCGTGGCTTTGGAGGGCACAGGGCTGGATGTCCAGGGAAGCTTTTAACGCTGACCCCATTGTCGGCCACCTGCTCTTCCCATCCTCAACCAACGGCCCGCTCAGGTGTCCCCCATGGGAAAAACCAACACAGACCAGTATCCTCAGCCAAAAGTCAGCTGTGCCTGCCCACAGCATCAATGGAATGACGGGAACACACAGCACTGACCCTCCGGTGGCTGCAGCCTGATCGTGGAATCACAGAAGTGTTTGGGTTGAAGGACGTTAAATTCTTCCAGTGCCACCCCCTGCCATGGGCAGGGACACCTCCCACTATCCCAGGGTGCTCCAAGCCCTATCCAGCCAGGCCTTGGACACTGCCAGGGATCCAGGGCAGCCACAGCTTCTCTGGAAGTTTATCCTGGAAGCAGTGAGCAAAGACACAATGGGAAAAGTGGCAACCACCMGCCTGGGGCTTTTCCACCACCACAGTGACACCAAGCAGCTCATCTGTGCCCTGCTGCAAGGAGAGGGGGAGTCAACAGTTTGGATATTTGGGACGTTATTCCCTTTGCCCACAGCAATCTGTTASAGTTTTGATCCTGTTTCACTCCCTGTCCCACCCCAGGACTCCCAACACAGAGAATCAGGTGGGCTGTGACAAAGGGGGTCTCAGTCCACCCCGCCAGGATTACAGACATTCCCCAGCCCCTGTGCTCCTCTCTGGGACTGCTGGGACACAGCCACAACTCCCACCCCACATCCAGAGTAGCAGGGAGTTTGGAATAACAAGATTGAGGGCAAGTGCAGCTGTAAAYCAGGGAGTGCTGTAATGGTTTTGCTCCAGCTGAGTGACCTTGGAAAGGAGCGTCGTGACCCAGGCCAGGTTCCATCTGCTTTTCCTGGACACAGAGGAGGAATTAAAACATTCACAGGGAGAAACTGTTGGATTGCAGAGTGGGACTGAGAGATCCTGCCTGGCCCTTGTGGCTTYATCCCCTGGGCTGAACCAAAGGGCTAGTTGGGGCACTCAGGTCCCTGCCCACGACCTTTTTCCTGACTCTATGGCATGTGGCCTCTTCCCACCTCACATCCCCTTCCCAAGGCAAGAGGGGAAATTTGTAACCACCACTTCTGATTTAACATTTAAACATCTCCTCCTTCAAGGGATTCAGCTTGGAAAGAAAACAGCAAATTCTGACTTTTTTTTTTTAAATGAGAAAGAATTCCAAGTTTAATCCTCTTGGGAGCAAAAGGATTAACAACAGATTTTAAGAGATTTTTTTAAAAATCAAATTCCACATAAGGCACCTCCATTTCAGTGGTTTTTGACGTGGATACAAGAACGCATGCAAAGTGAGCTGGAACTTCCCAGGAGCACCAGTTTCACCAGGAACTTAGTGTGTGAGGAAGATGGATTTAAGAGTTGGGGCTGAAGTGATGCCAACACCAGCAGCAAAGCAGTTTGGGGGCCTGGCACTGAACTTCCTCAGCTGGGGGTTTCAGCGCTGCTGAGGAAGTTCTGCTTCCCCCACGGATTAATTCCACTTCTTGCCTTTCCCAGCAGATGGAGAAGTGGCCACAGCCATCCCCAGAGCAGCTGCCTTGGAGGCAGCAGCAGCAACACCACTAAGAATCCCAGGATTACCCAACTGCTGGACTCCCTCAGCTCCCAAAAACTCTCCCTCCTTCGAAACACCAACTCCTCCAGAATCAACAAAGAGAGCATGAAATAAAACAGCCTGGAATAACTAAAGGAGGTGAACATGATATTTATGAACAATAAGCAGTTTCCCCTTAGATGGGCTCCCAGGGCTTCCCGCAGCACTCAGCCTGATGGGAATCTCCAGCTAAAATATTTGGGAGTTGGGAATATTTCCCATCTTCCTTCCCCACAATGCTACACAAAACCAAAACTGCAACTGAGAAAGATAATGACCCAAATCCCACCAAGCAAGTCACCCTGGAGCACAATCAAGGTTTAAGTACAATCCAGATGATCCARCCGCAGCGGTATTGGCTTCACTTAACTGTATTTAAATAAAATTAAGCAGTTAAAAAATAACAGGCACTAACATTCCCTGGCAGTGCTGACCCCACCGAGCCCAGCCCCACGAGGCTGTCCCCACCCTCCCCGGGCGCTTTGGAGGTGTCACACAGCACAAGAAGCCACAACATTTTCACGAAGCAACGTAACCAAAAGAATTCCAAGGCAGCTCCCAGCCGGCGTCTGGCTCATGGGGCCAAGGTCCAGGTGCTCCCACGGAGGRAACAGCCCAGGGGAGTGGGAGCGCAGGAACACGTGGCTCTCCCACTGAGGTCCCCAGGCTGGACAGTCCTTGAGGGTCCCTGCAGCCCTCAGAGCTTCTTGAGCCGACTGTACATCTCCCTCTTGCTCTTCTCCCCAGCCCAGGTCCGGCTCTTGGTGCGGAATCTCTTCAGGTCCTCCTTGAAGTCCTTGTGGTGCATGGGGCGGTAGCTCTGGGGCTCGCAGAAGCTCTGGGGAGAGAGAAGTTGGGGTCACCTCGGTGTCACCAGGGTGGTGATCCCACCACCAGCAGCCACTGGAAGAACAGGGACACACCCCCCACTCCACACGGGAGCTCCATGGCAGACACACAAAGTCCAGGGATATTCAGGTGCCAGCCATCAAACCAAGGGCTTTSTGTCCAGGGCTCTCATCCCAAATTTCCTGGCAGACAGCACAGAGTCAGTGTGGTGTTCACCTTGGAAAGGCACACACGGGAAGGGTGAGATCAGCTCCGCTGGTCGGAGCAGGTGCTGATCATGCCAAGATACGAACAGCGATCACCGTGGGTCCCTTCCAGCTCCGAGCATTCCACAATCCCTGTRCCTCGGGATAGGTCCCGCCTCACAGGGAGCCGCCGTTGGCTGTCCCGTGCTGCCACCTTGAGGCCTCATTCCCCCCTCCTCGGGACAGCCATGGAGACAACCCAAAATCCAGGGGGACAACCCAATCCCGGGGTGTCCCTCAGCCCAAGGGAGCCAACAAATCGCAGGGAGAGCCAAAACCCCGGGCAGCACTCACTGCCATCAGCTCCAAGCACTGGGAGAGCCACCATCCCACAGGAAAGAAGATGACAGCCCCATCCAGCTGGCCATGGACAGGCCAAATATATCTCCCTGGAAATGCACCAGGAAAGCAATCTCTCAGATAATTGCCAGTGGGGGGGCCTAAGGGACTGAGGCCTGTTTAGGTGAGAACAGCAGAACAGATCCCAGGAGCACTGGGACCATGGAAAAGCTGCAGGAACCAAGTGACAGGAGAAATMCCACCCTCAAAGTGTTGGGAAGAGCTGGGGGTGGTTTTTAGTTTCCTTGTCTCAATTAGAGGCTGCAAACTCCAAGCTCAGGTTTTCAATTTTGCTGGTTTAGGACTGTACAAGTTCTCAGGTTTCCATTTATTATCCAGCAATTACTGTCAAGCCTTGTCTTCTCCCCTGCTCCGAGAAGGCTGAAATCCTTTCCCTGAGTGACAGCTCGTTCTCAAGGGGGAGAAACCACTTCTGTTTTACTCTTGACACAAGTGGAAAAGCCCTTCAGCTCTGGCAGGAAGACAGCTCTGAGACAAGGAACAGACTAAGCTGCTCTGGGAACAGCCCACTAAGAGAGAGAGCAGGTAAAGCCCCTCCAGCCAAACCACTCTGCCCCAAAGAGAAGTCTGAGTATGAATAAATTATTTATTATTTATCTGTCATTTCTCCTCTGAGTGTGAGAGATCACAAAATCATCATGGAATKGTTTGAGTTGGAAAGGGACCTGAAAGACCTTGTTCCACCCTCTGCCATGGGCAGGGACACCTCCTATTAGCCCAGGGTGCTCCAAGCCCTGTCACACCTGGCCTTGGACACTTTCAGGGGTCCAGGAAGCCCCATTACTCACCTGGCACCTGGARAAGAAATCCTTGTAGCCCCCCTTGAGCACGTAGAGCTCTGGGTAGTGCAGGTTTGGGTACTCATTGCTCAGCCTGTCCTGCTCCCTCACAAAYCGGCACCTGCAGCAGGGAAGATCCCGTGTTAAATCCCACACTCAACCAATAACTGCCAAACCCACATCCCAAAGCCCTCATCCCTGTGATGGCAGGAGTTGGAGCTGCCTCCAGTGAGAGGCTGAGGAGCCACCCAGCCACATTCACTGACTTTTCCTTCCCCTCTGAACATTGCAGTGCTCCAGCCCAGGCCCAGCACAGCTTCTCATAGCCCAGGCTGTCCCAAACCCTGCCAGAGGTGACAACCACCCCCTGCACAGGAACTGGAGCCACCCCAAGCACTCAGCTCCCAGTGCTGCAGGAATTCCTGAACTGGGGAGTGGAACTCACATGCGAGGGCCCCGCTCTGAGGAGAATTCACAGTGGAACACCACGATGACCCGCTTGTTCTCCGAYGGCTGGATCGGCTTCTTCAGCAGGAAGTTTTCCACCTCCTCTTCCATGTGGAGGTTTATGGCACCCTGGAAGGGCAGAGTCCAAGCAGTGAGGGCAGGGGACCAGCAACAACTTCACCCCATTTCCTTGGGAGCCTGCTCCCAACACAGCTCCAAACCCCACCAGGACACCAGGGACAGTCTTCCCTGGGCACCCTGTGCCAACCCCTCCCCACCCTCCCAGCCAGGAATTCCTTCCCAATATCCCATCTATCCCTGCCCTCTGGCAGTGGGAAGCCATTCCCTATGTTCTGTCCCACATGCCTTGTCCTCAGTCCCCCTCCAGCTCTCCTGGAGCCCCTYGAGGCACTGAAAGGGGCTCCCCACCAGAACTCTCTGGGTGACCTCTTCCTGGTTATTTTACAAAGCCATTTTTTCTTTGAAGTCTGTGACTTAAATGAAGTTTAACATTCCAGTTTTTGCTTCCCAAGATACCAGGATGCTGGACACAGAGTTACATTCTCCTCTGGAACTTGCATCACCCTGATGGCCCCAGCCCCTCCTCTGCTCACAGATCCTCTGTCCAAGATCAAGGCAGTGGGTGGGTGGGACAGGATCCCAGTGTGGGACCACAGGGATAACACATCCATGTGGCCTTGGATAAAAATCAGCCCCACAGGGTGCCCAGTGACCCCAAGCTGCAGCTTCAGACCACCCAGCACTGCTCTTATGGGGCCAACATACCTTGATGTGTCCTCCTTCATACTCATAGGGGTATCTACAGTCAATTATCACACACTCCTTGATGAAGCTCTCAAACTTCCCAGTCAGCACAGACACAATCTGAGGAAAAAAACCACAAAAAGCAGAGTTCAGTTGTTTCAAACCATTTTTGTGTTATTCCCCAGACACCAGTGAAGAATTTTTCTGGYTCTCCTTGGAGCACTCACCATTTCTGAGTCGATGTATTTTAAATCTTGATGTTTCCCATCGACAGTGTCAAATAAATAACTCTGCAAGAGACAGAATTGAGAAAATTCCAGCTGTGAGGCACGTGGGTGACAGCACAGTATCCAGCAGTTTGCTCTCCTGACCAGAATCTGCAGGAGTTAAAACTCCTAAGAATTCTAAAACCAAGGACAGAATTTCATTTTTGGCTCCTACACTAGAGGGATTTTACARGGTTTTAACCACAAATGGATCACTTTGTGTCTTAACCTGGGACATTTTCTCACCAACACCCTCTCCCGGTTGTTTGARTATCRTGGWATTGTTAAAGTTGGAAAAGACCTCCAAGATCAAATCCAAAGAAGCAAGGCAGGTTTATACGGAATCAGAAAAGCCTCTGTAAAGGGAAGTGCTTTTCTGGGCTGGTTTGTGACATCCCCACCAAGAGAGGCCCTTAAACACTTCAGTTAATACTTGGAATCTCTGGAATTACCTTGGAGAAGTCCCCAATAAGGTCTCTCTGGTCACTGTCCAAAATGCTCTCAATCTCTGCTGTGGAGGGCTGGGTCCTCACTACTTTCATGCTCTGCAGRACACAGGTCAGGGATCCATGAGCACAGAGGGAAGGCACATCCCATTCCCTGTTTCCCACAGCTGACAGCTCAGAGCCTGCTCCCAAGCCCTGAACTGAGTCCTCAGCTTCCCTGCTGGATCAGGGCAAAGCTCAGCTTCAGGACTGTGCAGCTGCTGCCCCAACAATCCACCTGGAAAAGCTCCCACAAACCTCCCCAGACCAACACCAGATCTCCCCTAATCAATTCTGTGTCACAAAATGGATGCTGAGCCACCAACCGTTGAGTCCTCGGAAGTTTCAGGCAGGCTTTTCCTCTTCTTGCTTTTCCCTGGAGAATTCTCTTCCTGGCATCTCTCCATCCTTTTCTGGGTGGTTCTTCCTGCAACGCTTGACATGGACGAAGAGCCAAACAACCGGCATCGCTTGGCCTGCGAGGGAGGAGAAGAGTTGAGTTGGACAGCAAAGATTTATAAAAGAAAATAAACACAACTCAACCTTTCAGATTATTCCAAAYTTTGCCTTATTTAAGGCACCACCACTGCACAGCTACAGGGGGCTGTTAATCTGAATTATCCAGGCTTTACATTTCCAGTAACACTTGTTACTGGGCGAGCTTGGAGCACCATAAGCAAGATAAAGAGCCAGCAAAGTGCTCTACACCAATTAGCAGCCAATTTATCAGCAGATTAAGGAGCTTTCTGCTGGAGCCTAAACTCCTTTCCCAGTCTGTTTTCAGAGGATCAGGTTACAGCATTCCAGGTGAGTCTGTGCAGAGTGAGTTCCAGATATGTCAAGATTCTGATAAGGGAAGCCAAGCTCTTCTCACATTTATGAAGTGCAAGAAGTTTTATACCTGTAAACACCAATTGTTCTGCACTGACAAAGTCTCCCAGGTGAGCAGCTGCAGAGATAAGGGAACTCKGCAGGGGATTTTGCCAGGGCTTGTTTTGTTGTTCTTAGGGATACAGGAGACATCGGGAACACTTGTCCCAGCTGCCAGGGCAGTCCCTGTCCCTGCTGTGGGGATACTCACCCGATTGTCCGCTCTCCTCATGACCAGCGGTGCCGTCCACAGGCTGGACACATCYGAAGGCATCTCCTCGTCATTCTGGGAAGAGAAGGAAGCTCATTCTCATCCATCTCACCACAGGAGACATTACAAGTACAGCTCCTGCATGGCTTGGACAAACATTCCAGCTGGATTCAGCTGTCAGAGCAGCTTTAGGAATTTATTAGTTCAGTTCTTAAGGAAATAACAGAACTGAGCCAATCCATGTTGGAGAAGGTGAGTTTATCAATTCATTGATTGATTGACAAAGATGAGCCCACAGAGCTTTCAGCATTTCAAATTCAGTGGGAAGGAGTCTTGTATTGAAGAGCTCAAAGCAATCACCACCTCTTCTAAAGAAAAACACCAACTGTTCAAATAATTCCCTCAGGTCTCAAACTACACATAATTCACTTATTCACATGCCAATCCCACTGTCTGCACTAGGGAAGAGCACTTAAAGGATAAGGACACCCCAGTGTGAGCTGGAAAAGAAGATGAGAATCTCCYAGTGGGAAGTGTYCCTGCCCATGGCAGGGGGCTGGAACTGGATGGGCTTAAAGRTCCCTTCCAACCCAAACCACTCRGGGATTCTGCGGTTCCCAAATACCCAGTGTGGTGTAGTCTGAGCACCCTTACTGCAGCCAGAGCACATCAGACAGAGCAGGTTTGGGGATCTCCATCCTGTTCCCTCTGCACACACCTTCACATCCTGGTCATCCAGCAGCTCCAGGAAGCCATCATCATCCTCGCTCTCCGAGGAGGGCAGGGAATGCTGCTGCAGGAAGGCTGCCCTGTAGTTTTCCTGCTCCCCCGAGGCTGTTTCACCCATGGGCAGCTGAGAGAAGACAGAATGAGTTTTAACAACATTCCCTCTGTTCCCTGCAGGGTGCTGAAGCCACAGAGGGGCTRCCACAGCTCTCTGTACTGCAGGGAACACCGTGGTTATTCCCAACCCTGAGCTGCAGGTGCTGAGCACAGCACAGGCAGGAATTCCCAGGATGAAGAGCTGCTGGATCCAGGGAGTGGAAACAAGATTTGGCCCCCCAGCTCTGTTTCCCTGCAAGGACCCATCATCATTTTTCAGTTGCTTTTTCTAAACAACAAGATATGAATAAGGTAACATTTCCTCCCTGGATGTCACATCTGGACACAAAATCCAGTTGCACCTCTCCAGCTGGGTTTGTTGTTCCAAACGCATCTGCCTGAACATTAAGTATCAACTTTACCAATCATTTCAATCCCACATCACTGTCCACACTCCCTTCAATTACTGAGCAGAACCTCAGCTCTGTGCTGACTCATCTTTCCCAGAACAATGTTTCCAATTTCTGGCTATCTCATGAGCCAAAGGTGAGAATTTTCTTATTTGGCAGATAAATAAATTTTTCWATTTGGCATCTGAGTGACATCAGCTCCTTAGAACCATGACAGCAGGGKTTTTTTTTGATCCCAGAGAATTAGGTGAGAATTAGTTGAAAAGAACTAATTACCTGAGCTGGAGCTGAATTCAGCCTTGCTCCAGAAACACCCCTTCCATCACGGAAGCAACGAGATGCTGGTTTGGTTGGCTTCTTAAACTCAAATGATTCCTGAAATAAAAAGCAGCAAAATGATCATTTTAGCAAAATTACAAACTGTGTTAAGTTGCTTGGATCCTTTTATATTTTTAGTTTTTCTTAAACTGCCTGACATTTTAGATTTAAGCTCCCTGCTGCCAACAGGAATAAGCTGAAGGTGAATGTTTTCAAATTAAAGATGTTACAGGAATGTTTCATWTAACATAATCCAGCATTTTTGCTCTTGGCATCACCTACAGGCTTCAGCGCTTTTCTATTTCTGTCAGTCAACTTCTCTGCAGCACAAATCACTTTTGGAGGCAGCCAAGGCTGTGTCCTGACACCTGCAGAGCTGCTGGAGTCCCACCGATGGGATTCCCAGCAGCTAGGGCAGGCCCAGGACACCAGTTCCAGGAGGAACCAGGGCTCCCCATGGCAGCAGTGGGAAGAGAGAGATCTACCCAAGCACCTTCTGAAAGCAGCTCTCACAGCTGTCCAGAGCAAGCCGTGGGAATACCTTCTCCCTTGCCACAGCCAAAAACGAGTCAAGGCCAGTGGCACGAGGGCAGAGCTGGGCAATCAGAGTCTTCCCAAATTTTATTAACCTCCCATCAGTCTGCAGCCACTCCCATCAGTGCTGCCAATTCCCTTCAGAAAAACTGAGCCAAAGGTGCTGTGTTTGAAGAGCAGCCCGGCAGGGAGTAACTGAAGCCTTTCCCACTCCGTTCCCTGTGGCAGGGATGTGCTAATCCAGCTGTCTCTCCCCTCCCACCTGATCATGGCAGGCAACAGGAAACAACACTTACATTCTCCTTATTTTCATCCTGTTCCAAAGGCTGAAAAGCATCACTGTCCAGAGAGTCAGAGGGGTTTCTCTTCAGAGCAGGGCTGGAGCCCAACAGGCTTTGCTACAACACAGAAGGAACAATTCAGGATTGGGCATCAGTCCTTGCACAGGCAGATGTTAAGCACTAAAGGGGTTAATAAAGACTGGAAGGTCTCTGACTACGAATTTGCACACACCCTGTGCAAGAAACTCTGCCGACACTTCGGTACAGGGACCAAAATCTTCAGTGCACCAGTGAYAGAGCCACATCACGGAAATTTCACACTAAATTAAGTGTGATTTGGCATTTGCAAGCTGCAGTTTGACATTAAGCATCCCAGCAGCTGGTGCTGAGGCCAGAAAATTAACAAATATTCAACTAAATGTACTCAACTAAAACCATGCTAAATCCTTTAACATGTCTAAAACACCAATACCACTCTCACTTACCGGCAGGGAATGGATTCTTCTGAAAGGTATTCGAAGGCTACAACGAAGAAGAACCAAAATTTATTTCAACATCTTGCTCTGGCATTTCAATGAATAGAAATCACCCCCCAACTCCATAATCTAAAAGAGACACTGAGGAAGAGTTAAAAATAGAATCATACTTACTTCAGCTTGCTGGCTTTGATTGCTTTCTCAAACCTACCAAAGTAAAAGATCAAAGGTTGGACTTGAAGGTCTTAGAGATCTTTCCCAAATTAAATAATACTGTGGTTCTTAAGGCACAGAAAAGCACAAATGAATGCTAAAAAATGCAGTTCAGCTACACCTTGGTGCAGCCCCAGACTGCAGGCAGGTATCAGTGCCATGTGGTTGCCAMAACACCCCTGCTGGGAACCAGCACTTCAGTGCCCTGGGCACAGGAAGGGCCAATCCCAGCATTCCAACTGCAGAGCACATGAGGAAGTGCAGCAGGGAAGTCCCACTGCACATGTGCCAGCAGAGGAAAAGCCCCAAGGCCTCATTAGGCCGTGGCTGTTAATGATGCCACAAGTCAGGTTTAACACGGAGTTACTTACGTGTCCTCCATGGTGTCGTGTGAGGTTGCAGGGCCAGGAGAGTCCAAAGCCAAACCTGCAGAGGAGACACACATTTCCCACTGAATTTATATCCAGGAACCAGGGATTACTGGACACAGCTACAAATTTCTATAGAAAGGCCCAGGAAATTCATGTGGAAAGTCCCATGTGCAGCCTCCCCTCGGTGCAGGGACAAATAAGAGTTACAGTCCCTCCCSACCGTGGCGTTTGGATCATCAAGTGTCAGTGCCTGGGGAAAGCAGGGATAATTAAAAAAAGCCCCCCAGGCCCTGCCTGGGCTGTCACATGGAACAGAGTGCTGGCATTCAGCATGGAATACTCCTGGCTTATCCTCTCACACACACCTTAATCAACAAYTTAGTCCTTTAGGGTTTTTTTCCCTTACGCCATGTTTTAGTTACACCTCTTCCTACGAAGACATTTTGGGCTCATTCCAAAAAAATAAGCAGTCAAAAGGCCCTTCTTAATGGGAATTAACAGGAAGCACTTCAGAAGCGCAAACCAAGCAAAACATTTCAGCACAGACACGTCCAAACTCACTCCAACACAGATTCCTGAAGAGCCACAGAAAGTGAGGATTTGGAAAGGCTGGTTTCTCTGTCCTGCTCTGTGGTTTGTGAGCTGTACTCATGTTTTAACACTTCATAAAGTTAATTTTTAGGCTGAAAGTGCCYTCAAAATGGGGCATAAATTGAGGTGGAAACAGGGATTTCCCTGAGCTGGAGCAGTAAAGCACCAGAAGGCGTCTACAAGTTATGGAGTGAAACTTGATTTCATTTTCATTGATAAAACACCTCATGTGAAAACCAAAAAATCCTTCCAGGCCAGTCCCAGAACTGAGGGGYTTCAGATCATCAACCTGCTCTTGGTAACAGAAAAGCACATGGCAAAGCCACTCACTGGCACAGTCTGGGGTTTAGAGACAGAAAATACAGTGAGGACTCAGCCTCCTCACCTTCCAAAGGCAGGAGGAGCTCCAGGAGATCCTTTTCAGGGCTGAGATCCCAACAGGAGAGGTGAAACACCACCTCCCTGTTTTCCACACCATCAGCATCCATGAGCTACCCCAGATCAGGGAATGGTGGGAGTCCAATTCCCCAGGAATGCCTGGGTTATCCCCAGCAGCCTGATGGATCTCCAGCTGTCCCTGCTGCCTGGCACCATGTCCAGAGCAGGACACCACAGAACCGCTCYGACAAACACCACCCCAGAGCGCAAAGCACCACAGGGAAAAAGGGAAAAAGGCTCTGCTGGAGTTGCCCCAGGGGGCAGAACCAGTTTTCCCTCCCTGTTACCTCTCCTGCTCACAGTCTCCAGGACAATTAATKTGAAAAAACCCACCCACAGCCCCAGTCACGAGCTGAAGAGGCTTCCTGAGGGATTTTCCACCTGCYTCCCTCCTTCCAAGAGCACAGGAATAAGAAGGGGCTGCAGGGACTGCAAACAGGGATAGTTCTCTATCCAAACCCTGGGAGCTGCTTGCAGTGGGACCCATGTAAAAATGCATTGCTTTCCAATTCTTAATCATTATTTATTAACTGAGGACTCCCTACCTGAGTCTGTAGATTCTGAAGATGCCGATCTGTGTAACCCAGTCTTGGTTCCCAGATCTTGCTCCAGGTTTTCATGCTTCCTGTAAAGGAAATTTGGGATTTAATTTAAAAGTTAATTGAAGCAAGAAATACAGCACTGTAGATAGGTACAGCACAGGTGATCATCACCTGGATTTCTACTAGAGCCCAGTTATCATTCCTGGAACTGCAACTTTCTCTTTGGCAGCCGCTCCTTTAATTCTGGGTTTTGCATAGAAAAAAGTACCAAACTTCTAGGTGCCAAATTTCTAGGTCATTTTGATAAATAGTTACCTCCCAAATTTAATTTTATCCACTAAACCTCAGGACTGAGAGAGAAGAAAATCATATGGAGCCCCACATATATAAGGGAAAAACTACCTGAGTGAGGCTCCAGCATGTGGCAATTAAAAAAAAATGCAACCAGGGCTACAAAATCAAAGGACTGAATAATTTACATGGAGTGAACTACCAATGGATTGCAGGAATCCCAGGAATCTGAAAGAGAGAAGGATCATAAAGCAGGTGATTGCAGAAATGAGGACAGAAAATCAACAAACAAAACCCAGGAGGGTCATTGAGACCTGAGTGGGCCAGGACAAAACGGGAGCCACACAAGGGAGAAACTGTGGGAATAATGGGATTAGAGGAGTTAAGAGACCAGAAAATGGAGCAACTGTGGCTGGAGTTATGGGAACAGGAGAGGAGCTGCAGAGCCCAAAGACTGCAGCTCCTGGCACATGGAGAAAAAGGGAGGAGGGTGCGGGGACAGGGCTGGGGTGGAACAGGGAAGGCAGGAAGGGACACAAAGATATTTGTGGGAGAGGGGGAAGCCTGGGAAGGGCCCAGGAGAGACATGAATACCCAGAGCAGACCCGGGGAGGGGGGAAGATCTCCCAGAACGTGGATCCATGTGGGATGGGGGCACGAGGAGAGAGCCCTGCAGGGGGGACACGTCAAGAAAGGGGCGCCATGGAAGTTGGCAATGCGGGGTGGGGGGGATAAAATTCCCGGAGGCCTCATGGGCGGGGGTGGGGAGAAACAGCTCCGGGAGGCCTCGTTTTTGGGGGAAGGGATGGGGGAAAAGGTGCTGCAGGCTTTGGTTTCAAGTGTGGAGAGGGTGCTCAGAAGGAGAGGAAGCAGGATGAGCCCTTAATGCTTCTCTCTGGAAGGAGAAGGGCATGAAGAGACCCCCAAGGCCTCTATTCAGGGGTGGGGAGAAGGAAAAGGAGGGATCCACGCGGCCTCACTTTTTTGGGGGTGAGAGCAGATGAGCAACGCGAGGCCTTGCTTCTGTAAAGGGTGGTGAATAGGAAAGGAAATGAGTTCCTGAGACCTCGCAGTGCCGAGGAGGGGAGGTAAAGACATTACCGAGGGTCTGGGGTCTAGGGAAGGGGTGTTAAGACATCCCCGGGGTTTGGGGTTTGAGGAAGGTGGATAAAGACATCCCAAGGGTTTGGCGTTTTTTGGAGGGAAGGGAGTTCCGTGAGGCTTCACTGAGCGGGAGGAAATTATGGGGGCGGATGGAACGGAAGGAAAACGACTCCGGGAGGCCTTGGGGTTTTTTATAAATGGGGGGAGCCTCCCCAGGCCTCGCTGGGTCCGGGAGGGGGAACAAAGCGTCTGGAGAGGGAACAAAACGCCCTGAAGGAGAGACAAAGTGCCCAGATGGGCTTGTATAGCTGGCGGGAGGAGGAAGTGGGGCTCCCTTAGAACGGGAGGAAAGAGCGGAGGATAAGCCCTTCAAACGTCGCTTTTTTGGGACATCACGACAGAGGCGAGAAAAAGGGGGGTGCCCGGGCCCAGCGCCCCGACTTACCCGTGCCCCAGCTGCTCCATGGTGAGGCGAAGATCGGAGACAGGCGATAGCTCATCTTGAAACAGTGCTTTAGCCACGGCGGGCGAGGCGGGGGACGCCGGCGAGAGGAGCAAGAGGCGGCGGCAGTGTGAAGCCCTCGGGGTGGGATCCATCAGAGAGGGAATGGGACTTGGAAGCGCACCCGTCCTGTCCCGTCCCTTCACTGCCGTCAGCGCGGCCGCCGCAGCGCTTTGACCCCAGCCGGTACCCGTCGCCAGCTCCGAAGCTGGCGCCAAACCGCGGCTCAGCCAATCAGCGCGCGGCCTCCCGCGGGGGCCGGGTTGTTTTTTTTCAAACCTCCCCTCCCACCGCGCGCGCCCCGGCCAGTAGGAACGGCGGCGCAGCAGAGAGACCCCGCCCACGGCGGCAGCTCTGGACCAATAGGAAGGCGAAGCAATCGGCGTGGGGGGCATCCGCGCCAGCGGGGGAGGACTACATTTCCCAGTGTTCCTAATGAGCGCACCGCGTTAGCGCCCCCCACGCTGCACACTGGGAAATGTAGTCTCCGATTCACTGACGCGCCGCTTTCCCGCCATGTTTCCGGCGGTCCCCCTCTCGCCTGGGCGTGAGGGGAAAATGGGGACGATGAGAGAAAAAAARGTACAAACTCAGCAGATAACACGGCCTCGCTCAGCCAAAGAGCCCTTCCCACGTAATTTATTTTCAAGTGAGTTCTCTGTGAGAGCAAAAGTCTTTAGTGAGGCGTTTAGTGAGGCGTTTGGTGAGCGGCTGTGGAAATAAGGCAGTGCACATCCCTGCAACACTGGGATGGGGATCATGGAGCGATGAGCAGAAGGGAGACTTGACTGTCGCCGGTTGTRCTCCACATAAACTCTCAGGACTCGCAGCTTCTCCTCAGCTCAGGGTTTGCAAATCTCTGCTGTCACATTGTGGCAGATSCTCTGCCACGTCTCTCCGCTGGTTCCAGAGGCTGCTGAATCCGGCGGATCTCACATTTTCAGGACATGACCCACAGACCTTTCCCTCTGCCCGGGCCCTTCCATCCATCACTCACACAATGCTCCTGATTCCTGGATTAGACAATGTGGTCTTTGCTCCTTCCCTGACCCCCTGTATCTCAGAGATGTCCATCACACTCCCTAGCTCCTGCTGATCTTCCAGCTGTGTCCTCACTCCAGCTCTCCCTCCCTGAATATTTTCCTTTTTACAAGCTTTTTGAGCAATTACCACCACTATCATCAGTTGGTGGCTCCACCCTGACTTCCTGGGTGTGGGGTGGCTGCATCCTCCGGCACAGCACAATGCTACAAAGGCCACCATGGACCACCAGAGCCTCTTCCCTCCTCCCCACCGATTATTCCCATGGCCTCAGTGCCCACAGGGAGAGGAAGGACACTGCTGCCATGAGATCTAGCCAGAATACCAGCATGCAGACACCCCCCAGGTGGGACAGCACTTCTTTAATGCTCCAAAGGGCTTGGAAGGAGGAGATGCAGCAAAGTGCAGAGGGSATCCAGCCCAGGCAGAGCTGCAGCAGGTTTGCAGCGTGATGCCATGTCACTCCCACACTTTCCTGCTTAGCGAGCCCAGGGCATGGGCAGAGACCTGGAGCCCATCCAACKCTATCAGTCACACAGCTGGATGTGGGTTTCTCGTGACCAGAGCCAAAAATAYGGGAAGACTTTCTCGGTGAAGGAGGCCTTGAACTGCAAGATCTGTGTCATGTTCTCTGCATTGTAGAAGGTCACTTTGCCCGCTTCATARTCCAGGTGGACCCTGATTCTCTGGAGCTTTTCCCCCAGTGCCAGTGGGGCAGGGGGCAGGTGAAGTGCCGTGTACTGACCATCCCAGTCCAGCCGCAAGGCCCAGATCTTCCCCAGGGCCACGCTGAGCGAGTCCTTCCTAAGTACGGACTCCAGGGCCACCCCCACGGCCCAGCTCTCCCCCTTCCCGACCTCCAGCTCCCARTAATGCCTCCCAGATGTGAACCCCTGGGAGCCCAGGACACTGGGGCTGCCCGTGAATCTCTTGGAGGTGTCAGGGAGGKTTTGTCTCCCATCTCCAAGCCAGACGGTTTTGTGGTCCTGCGAGAGGGTCAGGTGAAGACTCGCCGTCTCCGGGTCCAGCGTCACCTTCTCTGAAGGATGACAGAAATGTCAGTCTGTTCYTATTGGGGGAATCAGCACCTCTCCCCCCTGAACCACGGGGCTGGGACATGTCCTGGGAGCACAGCAGRCACTCCTGCAGCCCCTCGGGTGGCATGGGGCACAGGATCCCACTGTCCCCCACTCTGGGACCCAAGGGTTGAAAAGATGCTGCCTGAAGCACGACTGAGCCAGGAAGTGTCCCACRTGCGGGTGACAGACACAATGGGCTTTGCCAAATCTGCTTCCAGATGTGCTGGATGTTGCTGGCTGTGGGGAGCACTACATCCCGCAGGTGTGAGGAGGCACTGCTGCAAGGCAGGAGCCCTGCCAGGCCAGTCCCTGCTCAAATGCTCACGCAAGAGAAAACCAGCTGTGAGCCCTGCTCTGCCGAGCAACCCGGCATCCTCACTCCGGAGCCGGAGCTGCCCATCCATGTGGGATGTTCTGCTGCCATCCCGTGGTGTCACCGGGCAGCGTCACCACCCCAGACCCTCAGCTAAACCCACTCCTCCGGGGACTGCAGGGGGAAAACTGAGGCACGACCGTGCTGCGCTCAAGTCTATCATCCCAAAAATTGAGAGTGCAGAGAGTGGCCTAAGCACAAACAGTGCTGAGCCCAGCGATGCTGCATCATGTGGACCCCAAGCACCTGCAAAAGCACTTCTGGTCATGCCTAAATGCCAGCTAAAAACATGKACAGCCCCTCTGCTTAACTGGTCAYAGACTGACATGGCCTGGTGCTGTCCTGGTCCTCATCTGGTGTCACASCACAGGGTCCCTGGTGCTGCCTGGCACGGGGACAGACCTGAATTCTTATAGCAGGCCTAGCCAAAACAGTAGGACTCAGTTCTAGACAGATKCYGGGTTTAGATGTTGTGGTGTGAGWCTCCYTCTGCCAAGGACATGAGGAAACTCRTGCTGGAAAGGTTTTCYCCCTCACTTGTGCCCACCAGCTCCAAAAACTTACCCCTTTCCCTGTCTACCTCGYTCTGCAGGCTCTCTGGAAGAAGGAAAGGAAGATGTGTGAGTATCTCTCCTGTGGCACCTTTCCCACTCCCCATTAGAATGGCAAGCCAGATGTGGAGCCCCAGGCTCCTGCAAAGCCCATCCTSGGGATGGTTCCCATATGGAGCAGGCATTTTGCTCCCAAGCCCCAGGCAGAGGCACCAGGCAGTGGCACCAGGCAGTGAGGATTTCTCACTTCCAGCCAAGCCCAGGGAAAGCCCAGCATGGAGCCAGCAGAGCTTTACCTTTGAATTTGRCCACCATGTCCAGGACCAGCTGGCTCGTCTCAGAGAGGCTCTCAATGCTCCTCTGCAGCTCTGGGGAAACTGGCTCTGGGATCGGGGCCTTGGCTGCCTCGCAGCTGAGGGGAGCAACATGGAGAGGAGCTCTGAGCCCAGCTGTCAGCCAGGGCCAGGAGGGAAACAGGGAAATCCCTGCAGCCACAGAACCCAGGGGAGCTGTGTCACAACTACCAGCATGGGAACCTCATCTTTTAGAGGGGTGCAATGGCCTCTGGTTCCCAGTAACATCACATGTAACCCCAAATACTCAGCAGGACAAACCACCTCCCTCCTGGCTCCTGGAGTGTTCCCAAACCTCTGGCAAAAGAGCTGCACAGGAGAGTGACACCAAGCCCGTTTCATACCTGCTCAAGATTTTGCCAACATCCTGCAAGAGAGAAAACACAGGTGAGCTCTGGCACTGCTGAGGACAGTGGTGCCTGGGGCAGGGAGCTCCAATGGCTGCCCAGCTTTGTGAAGCAGGTTAAGGGGGTTGGGGGTCACCCCACAACTCATCCCAACCCTCCCTTCCCTCAGGGCCCCAACTCACAGTGGGAACACCACGGTGTCACAGCCTGGCCTGTCCCCCCCRGCTACCCTGGCATGCAGAGGGTGCCAGGTGAGTGTCCCCAGCCTCACCAGGGGTCACAGCACCCAGTGGGTGATGCAGCCTCACCATGAGGAACTCGAGCTCCGGCTGCTCCCGTTTGTCCTGGATCTGCGCAATCACCGTGTCCAGCAGCGACTCCCTCTCCAAAACCCTGGAGTTGTATTCATCGCTCCGACTGACAAGCTCCTGGGACACCCGCTCCAGCTGGGCCAGCAGGATCTTCTTCTGCTCCTTCAGGAAGTGCTGCAGCTCTTCAAAGGTGTCCTGCACACGCTGCGCCTCCGATACCATGGTCATCTGCAAGGCACCGCACAGAGGCTCTGAGCCAGCCCCACCTCCGGCTGCTGCAGAGAGGGGGCAAGGACCACACGGAAAGGGACCAGAGATTTTGTAGAGGAAAAGCAGGAACAATGGAGAGAGGGGAGGCAAGGGGCCCAAGGAGGGCATATGGGATGGACAGGGAGGAAAGAACTGTCACGGAAAAGCAGATAAATATATATGGGGAGAGGGAAAGATGGCACATTCCTGGGGAGCCAGGTAGGGGAGCAGTGTGGGGCATGGAGAGGAACACACACCAGCAGGTCATCACTTTTCTGCTCTCCTTTGGGCTTCAGCTTTTCCTTCTGTTTTTGTAGAATAAACAGGTTGCTCTGGAGTGTCTCCTGGGACAGGGATTAAAAAAGGCATTTTTGGTAGTTTTGGAGTGACATTCATAGGAGGCAGATGAGGTCACCAAACAGCCCCTGTGGGGACAATCCTAGTCTGGGGAGTCACTGGGGGTGACCCCTGGGTGCCTGGAGGTGGATTTTGAACTCAGAGACAACACCCAGATATAGCACTCTCCAAACTCAGTTAGTCAGACTGGGGACATCCCCATCCACAGCTCTTGTGGCCAGAAACATTTCTGGAATAACTCCATGTGGAAACCCTGTGGTTTGAGGGTTTTTTTTTATTTTTATTTTTAATTAGAAAAAACAGCTTTTGGCATTGGAAGTGGGATTTCTGGGAAGAGGTTTGCAGTGACAGTAGCAGTGTCTCAGACACGCTCCTTAAATTTGCTGGAGTATTAAAAAACTTCTCATGCTCCTCTAAGCCACCCCCGTGTCACAGTGAGCCAGCCCACACTGTGGGGGAGATACCCTGGCTGGGGACATCTGGGGCACAAGGGACCAAGTGGGGACACACAGTGGTGAGCAGTCAGAGGGACCTGGGCTTCTGGGTGGGCTGGGGCCAGGCGATGGGAGAACCAGCAGCCCCAGCAGGGTGGGATACGGGACCCAGCCCACAGACAGATGCGGATCCCAAACTGGTACCCAGACAGGGACCCCAGGCAGCTGGGCGAGGCCCAAATCCGTGACTGGACAGGGACCCACCCTAACCTGTGTGTGGAGGGGAACCAGACCGGTGCCCTGAATGAACTGCAGACCGTGCTGAGAGGAGACCCTACCCAGGCACAGAAGAGACCCAGATCCATACCTAGAGGAACCTCCAGCTCATGCCCGTAGCGGCCCCCAGCCTGTCCTTGCAGGGACCCCAGATGTTTGCCAAGACAGGACACTAACCTGTGCCCAGAGGGGACCCCTGCTGTCCCTGGAGGGGACCTAGACACACGCACCGAGGGGCTCCAGCCCACGCGTGSAGGGGATTTCACTCTGTGCCCGGAGGTGACCCTGACTTGCACCCGGAAGTGACCCCACTCTGTGCCCTGAGACGCCCCCAACCCGTGTCCCTCGGCCACACCCCCCCGGCAACGAAGGCACCCAGCCCCTTCCCAATCCCCCGGCCCCGTACCCGGAGCTCCCGGGCGGCCTCGTCGGCGGGGCGGACGCGGTGCTGGAGGTGCTCGGGCCCGACCCGGCAGAGCGCGCAGAGCGGGGCGGCGCAGGGCTCGCAGAACAGCGCCAGGGGYTCTTCGTGTTCGGGGCACCGGGGCCGCCCCGCCGCCTCCTCCAGAGCCCGGGCCAGCCCCGCCATGGCGCCCAGCGAGCGGTTGGGGCGCAGCGAGCCCGGCTCCACCGTGGTGCGGCACTGCGGGCAGGCGGCGGGRCGCGGGGGGTCCYCCAGCACGTCCTCCAGGCACTGCCGGCAGAAGCTGTGCCCGCACGCCGTGAGCACGGGCTGCGCGAACAGCTCCAGGCACACCGGGCAGGTGGCCTCGGCCGCCAGCTGCTCGCCCAGAGCCAGCACCTCCCGAGCCATGGCCGCGACGGCCGGGAACGGACGGGATGGGGCGGAGCGGGGCGGGGCGGGGCTGAGGCGCCGGGGATAGGCTGGGTGTGTGTGTTTGTGCGCCAGTGTGCACATCGATGTCATTAAACGCGTGTGTGTGCATGTGTGTGTGTGTGTGTATGTATGTATGGGAATGTCCCTGTTTCTCCCTGCTCCTGTGCCTGGATCTCAGAACACACCCGTGYGTGTCCGTGTCCGTGTGTCCGTGTGTGTGTTTGCGAGCCAGGGAGGAACGAGCAGCAGAACACCGGGGGCACACAGGCACGGGGCCCGCTGTGTGTGCTGCGTGTGCCCGTGTCTGCACACGCGTGGCCGTGGGCAGCCCACGCGAGTGGGGATGACGCAGCGGCYGCAGATGGGGAGGGCTGGGGTGARTGTGTGAGTGTGAGTRTGAACCTCCATCCCAGCCTTCCCCCGGGGCGCAGCCGGCACGCTCCGGCACGGTGCTGCCAGCGCCCGCGGATGCTCCGGATGTTTAAATTAATTTAATATTTAATAACCTGGAACGCGTSCGGGAGCTTCGCCCTGGCTCGGCCGTGGCGGCGGGTCGGAGCTGCCGAGCGGGAATCTCTTCTCGAGACCTCGCACTCGTCGGAGCCGCTGCCCGGCCATCCGGGCTGGGGTTAATGCAGTTTTAAGGGATTGTGTCGGGGCGGCAGCTGTGCCGTGCGGGAGCCGAGGGTAATCCTATGCTGCCTCCCTGTGCTGCCAGCCCCGGCCTGCTCGCCTGAAATCGCCCCAAACCCACGGCTGCTCCACTCCAGCCTCCATTCCCACACCCCATGGCTGCCAGCGCCTCTCCCAGGGTGTCCGTCCCTCTCAGCCCAGCTCCAAAGCACCCCGAGAACAGCAGCGGTKCTTAGGGAGCAGAGCCCCTCGCTGCCTCATGCCTCTCCGCAGGCTGTGGGTCCACATTGTCCCCTCTGTGCTGCTGCCGTAGGCTCAGCCCCAGTGGGTGCTGCGTGCACAAAATCAACCCCCCATACTCAGCCGTGGGTTCTGCTCCTCCTYCACCCTCACGTGCTGCCATCCGGGGCCCAAGGAGTATTTTGAGGGTACCATTCACCCCTGACACGATAAAGCAGTTGAACAAACCCCTCTCCGCGCAGTTACTGCCCTGCCATGGCTGCGCCCTGCCCAGGGTTCCTGCCACCCTGTTGCCCTCTTCCCTGCCCCGGTGGATCCCAGCCCCCGGGCCAGTGCCTGTCACAGGTCATGATGATGCTTCCAGCCGCAGCACCCTGGGGTGACAGCCTGATGTCCCCACTCATCTGGAGCCTCTGGGGTGCTGCTGGGGATACACTGCCCATCTCACACCCAAGTGGGGACAGCAGTGACTCCTGCTCTTTCTGGATCCATCTGTGTCCAGTTCCTCCAGCACCCCAGGCCAGGGAAAGCTGGGTGTCACCAGGCGAAACCCACAGGACAGGAGCCATCGAATCCATGTTCCACTGTGAGACAATGCTGTTAATTGCCACCRCTGTGGTTTTCAGTGTTGCTGCCACCTGCACTCAGGGCCACGATGGCCATGTTGTCCCACTGGCACGGGAGCTGCGCCTGCAGACGGATTGGTGAAATTTGAGCTGCTGAAGGTCACCAGGATGTTGTTAAATCCTGGCAGTGTCCAGTGACTGAGGCTATCACGTCTGTGTGTGGCAGGCGAGGAGCAGCGCAAAGGGCAGAGCTGCCATGTGGGGCCCAGTGACACAGAGCAGAGCATGGGCACTGCCAGCCCRGCCACACCACAGTCCTGGTGCTGCGGAGGGGCAGCCGGGCTAGTACAGGCACCTTAGTTCTGGTTTTGACAATAAAAAGCTGAATTCATCCATTTTTAGGAAGAAAAAAGGATGCTGCCAGGTCTGTGTCACTGCCAGTGTGATGAACACAAGCTGCTGAGAACCAGAATMGGTTCTGCTTTTCMATTTCCTTCTTCCCCATAATTGAATTTAGTCCTGCTAAGGGGGACACAGGGAGGCTGCCAAGGGACACAGGGCTGCAGCCATGTCCTCCTGTCCTGCACCCACACCTCCTTCCCAAGGCATCAGCCCCATCACTGCACTTTCCACAAAATCCCAGAATAGTTTGGGTGGGAAGGAACCTCAAAGCTCATCTTGTCCCAACCCCCCGGAAGGGCAGGAACACCTTCCACTATCCCAGGTTGCTCAAAGCCTTGTCCAACCTGGCCCAGCTTCCAGGGATAGAAGTATCAACACCTGTCAGGCTGCAGGCCCTGACCTGAAACCCCAAACAGCTTCCAGGGAGTTGTAGGCACCATCCCAGCAGTGAGAAGGAAGGAGCCCTGGCAAGAGCCTGCCCTGGCAGCCCCAAAATGCTCCCAGCCACAGTGGTGACAGCTGGTGGCTGTCAGTGGCTCCATGTGGCTGTGCTGCCCTCTGTGCCTTTCTAGAACAGAGAAGGCAATAAATTCCAAACTTGGGAGGGGTTAATATGCCAGGAAAGTCCTGGATGAGGACTTTGGTTCTGCAAAGGCATGAACAGATCCCGACAACTTCTCCCATCATTGCTCCGTTTATTGATGCCATTGTCCAACATGAGATCTGACAGCACTGGGAAGGAGCCCCGTGTGCTCCGGGGAGCTGATGTCACCACCCCAGCCCCAGCCCAGCCCTTCAGATGGATTTCACCCAGCCCAGCCACAGCCCAGTCTCAGGAGCTGCAGCCAGGACAAGCTGGGATCCCCAGGAACAGAGCTGGTACAAACAGGAGCTCAATCAAACAGCAAGGAGAGGGATCGTGTCCCACCCACCCCAGCAGCGGGTGCCCAGGAGCTGGGAGGTCTTTCCTTGGAGCCAGCCTGGAGCTGCTCCTCACTGGGGCAGGAATCCCGCTGCTCCTACTGTTGGGGAGCGCACAGTCGACACCACCTGCAGCAGCTCAAGGAGAGCAGAGCAATTAAACACATCAAGGTCTCGCTCTCAGTCCATGGTGACCCCACAGCACCCCGTGGCCAGACCCACAGCACCCTGACACCCTCGGTGGCGGCAGGGCCAGGCCCCCGGTGGGAGGACTGAGCATTGGGAACGGGTGTTTGGAGGAACCTTGCAGAGGGGTCCTACCAGAAAAAGGGTCTTTTACTGCAACTAGAATTTTATTCTATTGTATAATTCAGGAGTGCATCACAGCCCCGCGAGCCGGGCAGGCACCTATCAGCGCTTCCAATCTAGACACACGCAGAACTTCCTCATCAGCTGCATCTGTTAATTACTCACCTCCCCCYGGCCGGAGCTCCTCCTGTTGCGTCCAGCCTGGACGAGGCAGCGCCTCCGCAGAGCTCCTGGACAAAAAGTGACTGTGCCAGAATCAGCCTACAGAGCAGTTAACAAAAAAAACCCAAAAAAAACCAAAAAAACACAACCCCAAAACGAAACAAACAAACAAAAAAAAATCTTGCCCATCCTAAGGTTGCTTATCAAATAAAAAGTTCCTCCACATTTATTAAAAAAAAACAACCAGTAGATTTAAAAAGCAGTTATGAGTCCTACTCTGGCAAAACACCCTGTGTACAGGCTTCTTTTGTTGGTGGTTTGTTTGCTTGTTGGTGAGGATTCCCCCTAAATCAGCTGCTTCTGTTAATTTTATATATATATAATCTTTTAATTTTGCCGCGCGTTGCTTGCTTTAATTCATTAATTTATTTCCAATCAGCCGAGTCTCCACCAGACCAGCGGCGCTACCACACAAAGCTTCCTTGATGTCCATGCCCTGAGCTGGGGTAGGGGGAGATGGATGGAGGGAGGGTGGGAGAGATGAGTGGAGGAGGAGGAGAAAGAGGAGGAGGAGGGAGGGAGGGAGGTAGAGGAAGCTTCGGCAGCCCCTCACTCTCCCATGTGCGTCCTCAGGTGGTACTTGAGCGACTGCTTGTAGCGGAAGCACTTGGTGCACTCGGTGCAGGGGTAGGGCCGCTCGCCGGTGTGCGCGCGCTGGTGCTCCAGGAGGTGATGCTTCTGCGTGAAGTTCTTGCCACACTCGGTGCAGTGGTAGGGCCGCTCGCCSGTGTGGATGCGCTGGTGCTCCAGGAGGTGGTGCTTGCGGATGAAGCCCTTCCCGCAGACGGCGCAGGCGTGCGGGCGCTCCCGCGTGTGGATGCGGTAATGGTTGGTGAGCTTGGACTTCTCGCTGAAGGTCTTCTCGCACTGGCTGCACTGGTAGGGCCGCTCGCCGGTGTGAGTCCGCTGGTGCCGCAGCAGGTGGGAGGGCCGGGTGAAGTTCTTGCCGCACTGGGGGCACAGGAAGGCCATCTCGTTCTTGCCGGCGTGGATCCTCTGGTGCATGAGGAGGCTGATCTGCAGGCGGAAGCTCCGGCGGCACTCGCCGCAGGTGAAGGGCCGCTCCCCGACGTGGGTGATCTGGTGTTTGCTGAGGCTCGACTTGTGGCTGAAGCTGCTCTCGCACTCGGAGCACTTGTAGGGCTTCCCCGGGGGTGGGGCCCGTGACGGGGGCTTGAGGCCGTGCTCGGGGCGCCGCGGGACCCCCACGCCGCGGCGCGTGTGGCTGCGCTGGTGCAGCAGGAACTGCTGCTTGTTGCGGAAGCTGAGGTCGCACTCATGGCACTCATAGGGCCCTTCCTTGAGGTGGTTGCGCTGGTGGATCATGAAGTTGATCTTGAGCATGAAGCTCTTCCCGCACTCGGGGCAGATGTAGGGTCTCTCCCGCGTCCGGTTCCGCTGCTGACCGCCGGCTGGCTTCATGTCCCCGGAGTCCCTCTCGCAGGCCGACGCCTTCCTCATGCGGGTGGCCAGGCCCCGGGGCTGCACTTTGGAGCTGCACTGCGCTTCGCAGCCCAGCCCGGCCTCGTGGCTGGGAAACACTGGCGGCTCGCTCCGACCCGAGAACATGGTGCATGGCTCCAGTGGGTCAGGGTCCTCCTCCTCCTCCTCCTCCTCCTCCTCCTCCTCCTCTGTCTTGATCACGATCCCATCCTCTGAGGGGGGAAAACCAAATGGAGTTAGGGTCATCGGGTGGGACGGGGTGGCCTCTTACACCCCTGGGCGCTACAGAAACACCTGCATGGGCTCCTGCAGCTGTTTGTGCCTGCCYGCTCGGCCTGACTTTCTGGACATGAACCAGCTGCAGCCAGAACCGCGAGTACGGGGATGGGCCATGTCACCCCTGGACAAAGAGCCCAGACAAGCCAGCCCTGGCCAGGCTCTCCCAGATAGTGTGCTCTGACCACCTGCTGAAAGGGCTGGCAATCTCAAGGTGCTGCAGGAAGTGGGGGATAAAAGCACCATAATTTGCCAGGGCTCGGGTGGCCGAATGATTCCAGAGCAGCTCCATCTGCTGCTGTTTCACTGGGCTACAACACTCCTGGCACGGCACCGCTAGATGGAAACATAGCTCCAGGCTGCCAGCTCTGCTCCCTGCACAGCACAGCCAGCCGGGGACTGTCCCCTTCCCTCAGCCTCGCCGTGATCGGGTGTGGGAGAGACACTCCTGCTTCCCAGAGTACCTGGTGGTTGGATGGAATGGCAATGGGATGAATGGCAGTGGGATGGAATGGCAATGGGATGGACGGCAGTGGGATGGATGGCAGCGGGATGGATGGCAATGGGATGGATGGCAATGGGATGGAATGGCAGGGGGATGGATGGCAATGGGATGGATGGCA